AATGAACACATTTGAGGCTCTAATGCTGAGAATAACTGCATGACTGAGAAAAGGTGTCTGGAGAACTGAAAAGCAAGACTATGTGAAACTTGTATTTCTAGTCTTTATCCTTCCCCAAATTTACAGAGATTTCTTTTCCAATTCAGGCAGGATTCCCACCTGGAGTTGTGAATATTGTGCCAGGCTTTGGACACACTGCTGGAGCAGCAATTTCTCACCACATGGATGTAGATAAAGTAGCTTTCACTGGCTCTACAGAGGTACTATAATGAATACAAGAAAATACAAGCAGGAACAGTGCCACTCTGATTCCCACTAATGATTTAATGTCTAACTCGTTCTATGTAGCTATTTTAACTTTTTTTTTTCTTTTGGCTGCTGGTCTGTTAAACAAAGTCTGTTTAATGATTTGTTAGTTATTATTAACTTTAAACGTATTTAAACAATGTTTGTATTGCAGGAAAGCCATTCAAACAAAGGCATTCCATGAGATACAATAGGTTCGAGTATACCAAAGCTATTTAAAATCTTCTCCTTTAAAAAGAAAATATTTTCATAAATTTATGTTTGCTTCTTTTTTAAGGAATAATTCTTTTTTAAAATGCAAAATGTTAAACAACCTGTGCTCTGTTCTCTTTAATTTTCATAAGAACAGGGTGGTAGAAAGGTACTTCAGAAATCTCATTCCTGGCTCTATACATGCTTAGATGAGGTGATTTTTTTTAATTTTTTTTTAATTTGGATGACACTGATGATCTACTGAGTGATCTTAGAAGTTTATTTGAATATGTATCAGATTAATAATTGAAAGGAAGGTCTCTGTTAATTTTCTTCAATCTTCACCCTGGAGAACTATGAGTGATATAATCAAAGATTTCTCAGCACAGGCGTTATATAATTGTACACTTAACACAGTACATTATATTTTCTGTCTGTATGCGTGCTACATGGAAGAGCTGCCCACTGTTCTCTTAACTATTTGGATATAGACTCCAAAGATAAATATCACTGCCTCATGTCAAGCATCAGTACACACTGAGTGCAAGAGCTGTGTTTACTCATAGATTGTTACTTTAGCTCTAAAATAACAAGAAAAGAAAACAACTTAGAAAACCAACATGTGAGATGTTCCCAGTAGACAGTAACTACTGCAATCCCCAGTGGCCCATGGACCTCTAAAAACAAGTGGAGCAACCAAACAGAGGTTGTATTTACAGACGTTAGTGACAGTTGTCTACTTCTGTCAGTGTAATTTAGCAGCAAGAAAAGAAGGCAGAAAGGCTGACAGAAGAAGGAAGCTATCTGATGATTTCTACGTGTGGACAGTTACAGATCAAAGCCACAAGGGCCACAAACACATTTTTCCCTCACAATTCTTTGGGACAATTCATATTAAGTAGTTCCTTTAATTGTGCCATCATTGGAAAGAAGTAGAGTAGGGGTTCTGGCTCAAACTGTTCATTTCCTCTTCTTTCTTCTAGGGGAGAAACTGGAATAAAGAAGAGTTGGCCATGCAGGCAGTGTAGATAACCACTTTTTTCTCTCATACACTTTGTGTATCAAAGGGCTTACCCATCTATAAACCAGAGGAATTTCAATCTAATGGGAGTAACTGGCAGAGTAGAAATTAATGCCTACTTTATGTTATGGACAGAAGCAGGTAGAATGGTGATAGCCAAAAAAAGCACCAGACATCTCCGGGAGTTAACATGAGTGTGTCTAGAGGGGAAACTCTTCGAGAAAGCATTCTTGGCTTATAGACTGCAAGTCAACTGCATCCTGACTATTCTTATAATTTTTTAATTTATTTTTCATTTCTGTAGTTACTGGAATTGTTGACAACTGTGAACTGATTTTCACTTTTGAGGAACTCAGAGAAATGTTATTTACACCACAGTATACTTTTTCAGATGAAACTGTCTTCTCCCTTCATTTTAGGTTGGCAAACTTATTAAAGAAGCAGCAGGGAAGAGTAATCTGAAAAGAGTTACATTGGAACTTGGAGGAAAAAGTCCTAACATTATATTTGCGGACGCAGACTGTTAGTAGTATTCTTATTATATAAATCTACTACTTTTGCAAGTGCCATGTCCTTTTTCTTTTCCTTGTCAGTAAATTATTGGTACCTGTTTAATGAAGGAGTAATTTTTAATGTGTTTTGCTCATGCCCTAGATTTTACATAGATTACCACAAAAAAATATAGTGGCTCCTGAATGGATATGAAACTCTGACAACCTGTCTACCCTTACTGTAAATAAGAATCATCCTAATGCAACAAGAATGCAGAACCAAAAGCAGCTGGATGAATCTTGTACATGTTTATTACCTTTCTAGCTGAATACTCCTCTTGGTACATGCCTTGCTGATAAGGCAAATAATGTTGAATCTACATTTCACATAGAACAACTGAATGTGTGCTTGTCTAGGCACACTGTGCTGCTCTTGATAAGAATAGTTTTGGACATAAGCAAATGGATGAATATCTGTGTTTCAAAGGGACATAAAAATAAAAAGGGAAATGAGATGAAATGACAAATGTTTGTAAAGAATTTATGACATGACTATTGAAGTTTATGGTCTGATCAACTCTGCATTTCTTTGCAGTGGATGCCGCTGTGGAATTTGCACATATTGGTCTGTTCTACCATCAGGGACAGTGTTGTATAGCAGCATCTAGGATTTTTGTGGAAGAGCCTATTTATGATGAGTTTGTTCGCCGAAGCATTGAACGAACAAAGAAGTATACTCTTGGGAATCCTTTGTTGCCTGATGTTCAGCAAGGCCCTCAAGTAAGTAATGATACATGTGTTCAATATAATTATGACATGACATCACAAGATAATGTTCTTCTATTGTTGCATTAGTGTCAAGGCTAAGTACAGTTGTTTAGTGCTTAGTCTGAAGGACCAGGAGGAAGAAATTGGAGTGATGGTTGGTTGTGCCGCTGTCATAGGCTTAAGAGTGAGATTTATTTCTCTTTTCTAGTTCCTATTACAAAATGAACTGAAATGCTTTGAGAAAGCTCCAACGCAATAGCTGTAAAAGTGCAAGTACAAGCACCCATGTCAGATATTGCTAACATTATATTCAAATAAAGCCATTGTAAGTGAGTAGCTTGAGAAAGTAAAATATAATGATGTCTCTTCCCTTTTTTCAAGTTGTTAGTGTTTCATTATGCTTCTCTTAATTTTAGAATATTACACAATTAAAGTGCATAATTTTGTACTTTTTAAATGTATTAAAAGGTCACACCAAAGTGTTTCTCATTAAAAGAATGCTAAAATGCACCTTTAAAAAACATTGCTATCATAATGCTGTGGATTCCATGGATTGCATTAGAGCATTTTTAATTTAGTTTTCACCTCAAATCTTATTCCCATATCAACTTGTACTACAGGATACATACTTTCTTGGCAGAGCTTTTATGCACATATTAAATTGTCACAGAATAAAGAAACCGTATCAGAGACAAAGCAACTTCCACATATTTGATAACATAATATGTTCTTCATTGGTATTCACACTCATTTTATGTAATCAAAGACATAGGTACATTGGAAAACTGCATTCAAAGCCACAAAAGCTTGGAAGAATTTAAAAATAATGAGGATATTATTTTTATATCCTGCGATGTGTCTTCCTAACACATTCAGCTGAATAAATTTAAATGACGGATGATAGGAAGATTGAAACAAGTAAACTCCAGCTATCTGGTGTACAGCTAATTTAAAACTAATGGGAATCCACTCTGATATTATTGTGGCTTTACTGCATTAGAAATTCATGCTAACAATTTAAACAAGGGATGAAAGTAAAGTTTTACTAGAAAAAAAAAGTGAAAAAAACATTACTGAAAGTATTTGAAAGACCGTAAAGACTTTTTACTTCTCCAGTTTCATCATCATCTTAAACTCTTTTTCTTCTTAGCAAGCTTTAGCAGAAATAACTTTTTCACAAGTTAGCAAAGTTTCTCATTTTAGAACTGGTACTATGCCATTTAATGGAAAATTGTAACCATGTAGTTTAGGTGCATTTCTTTTGTTGTAATTATGTTACATATGTATTTATGTAATTATGTTATCTCTCTTTGTATTCAAATTCTTTATTGTGCTTTGGCTAATTCCATCTAGAAAGAGAAAATGATAGCCTATATCAGGCATATTCACTGTGCTTTTCTGTCATAGAGACTACTTGAAAGCCTTATTTGTCCTCCAGTTCACAGGCACTTTGGGGCCGCACCTGTCTCAGACAGCAAGTTTGGGTAATGCTTGGCACAGTGAGCACCAAAGACCCTCTTGGAATGCAAAAGAATATATATATGCTAATTCACACGTTATTAAGAAAAATAATTATGATGATGATAACAAAGAAACGACTGACAGCATCATGAACTGTATCATCTAAACTTCATCTTCTCTTCATGATGTTTATGCACAAGAGATATTTGGCCACCAGAGTAGCAGAAATGTTATGTCTCCAGCATGCAGTAAGACAATTGTTTGAAAGCAAAATGACAGGAGAAGCACAGTGAACTAAAAATCACCTCCTTATAAATATCCTTATAAATTCACATCCTTATAAATATAAGCTTTTATCACAGCTTCAGCTGAATAGCTGTTTAGTCTGATATGCATCTAGGATTCCCCAGAACCTATGCAAATATTGTTGTGTTCTATAACAAATGCTTAAACTCAAATGTAACCATTTTATTGCACAAATTAAGAGAATAAGATACTACTCTGCTGACTGATTAGTATATCACAGAGAAAAAGCTTCTCTGCAAGAGTCCACCTAGAAGTAGTCTCAGTATCTCCATGAGCAAGTGCTTGAAGGGCTAAACTCCAAAAGAACAAAGAATCATGAACATGGAAAAATGAGGGGGTGGGGTGGAAAAGTGTGTTAGAGGCCTCTATCAAACAAGCTCTACCATTGAGTTTTTCTTGACATAAACACTATCTTGTGTACAAATTCTCCTCAGTCCTGAAGTGGAGATTGATTAAATTGGAGAGGGGAGGAGCGGAAACGATGTGTCATCTGTTTCTAGTCCTCATTTACACTATTTCATTTTATCCTCTTTGTCACTGAAAATTTGAAGTTGTTAGAGAAATAAAAGCCCCTACTGTACTGTCACCATAAACTACTTTTCTAGCCAAAGACCATGCATCTTGCTATACTATGGAGCCAAACTGTAATAAGATTGGCATATGTTGAGCATGTTGGTAGGTTTGAGCAAATGGAGTGGCAGAGATTGGCTTCATATTGTAAAAAGTCTACCATCTATGCTTCTCAAACTACAGATGTGTTTTTTTCCACTAATGAATCAGAATTAACTGAAAACAACTTTGAACTTCAGTTATATGTTATCATTGCTTTTTAACTGTAATAGTTTAGGAGAACTATATGGCCAATCTACGAAACATAGTAAAGTACAGAAGAGCTGCTGGCTAGATCAAGCCCTCTATTATTTTTTGCAGAATCAAGCT